CCGACAGTGGCCAGCACCAGGTGCCCCAGAGAGGGTGGACCGAAGACAATGATCAAGTGATTTGTCTCCTGCCATCCCTCTCCAGCCTCTGACAAACAGAGGCCAAGACACCATTTTATCCCCTGGCTAATAGCCTTTTATGGACCTAACCTCCATGAATTTATCTAGCTTCTCTTTAAACTCTATTATAGTCCTAGCCTTCACAGCCTCCCCTGGCAAGGAGTTCCACAGGTTGACTACATGCTGTCATGATACCATGATATTTTTGTTAGTCTCTAAGGTGCCGCAGGATCACTCCTTGGTAGAACCTTATTATTGGCCAGGAACGGGGGTTAGGACTCCTGGGTGCTCTTTTCAGCTTCATGAGAAGATGTCTCCTAGCCCCCAGGATGTCTCAGGTCAGCTACCAGCCTGGTGATCCAGTTCCAAGGTTTTCATATTACCCAGCTGGCCAGCATGAGGCAGGCAGCATGGTACAGCGGCGCAGTGTACTGAACTGGGAGGTTTGCAACCTGGTGTCAACTCCTGACATGTCCACTGACTCATGGCTTGATCTTGGGAAAGCCTGTGCCTCAATTTCCCCATCTATAAAAGGCGAGCAATGAGACCGACCTGCCATCCTAAAGTTTTATTGATGAAAGTTGCGACATCGTGTCCTTAATAACGCATGGAACACCGTGACTCGCAATGCGGGGAATGGGACCTGGAAGTCCTGGACACACAGCTTCAAGCTTAAAAGACGGTCTACTCCCTTCTCGAGTTAAATTAGGAAAGTGAGAGTCACTGCCTGCCCATAGATTCCTAAACTTTCAAGAGAGTTTGGTTTGGTTCCTACATTATCTCACCTCCCAGCTCTGAGGCCAGAAGACTGTCTAGAGCAGCGGTTCCCAAACTTTTTGGCATCACACCCTGCTTTTTGATTTTTGAAAAACCCTCACGCCTCCCCCCTCCCCCCCCAAATAGCAGCAAAACTCGTTGAGCAAAAAAAAAATGGAAAAAAGGAACTGAACAGGGCAGCAAAACCTGATTGAGGGGGCAGGGCTGGGTCGCCTCGTGCCCCCCCTGGAATTTCTTCACACTCCCCCCCGGAGGCACGCCCTCCCCCGTTTGGGAACCCCTGATCTAGATCCATTGCATCTGGAGCCATGTATTCTGCCAGCCATACGGATTCATCCACAGCACAAACACCTTGAATCATTGAATACTGGGACTGAAGGGGCCTTAAGAGTCATCAAGTCCAGTCCCCTGTCCTCACGGCAGGACCAAGCATGGTCTAGACCAGTGGTTCCCAAACTTTTCGGTATCATGCCCCCTTTTGGATTTTTGAGACACCCTCACGCCTCCCCCCCCCCCAAAAAAGCAGCAAAACTTGTTGAGGGGGGAAAAAAGGAACTGACGAGGGACGAGAAACAAAAATAGCAGCAAAACTTGGGGAGAGGGGGAGATTGATGGGGGGCTGGGTTGCCTCATGCGCCTCCTGGAATTTCTTCATGCCCCCCCCCCGAGGGGCACGCCCCCCCCGTTTGGGAACTCGTGGTCTAGATTGTCCCTGACAGGTGTCTATCCAACCTGCTCTTAGATAGCTCCAGCGCTGGGGGCTCCACGTCGTCCTTCGCTAGGTTCTAACGACAAATGGGCGATCGTTATCGTGGTTTCCAATCACATCGTCTTCCAGCCTCCTTCACCATTCGCTCAGTTACGTCGATTTGTGGGGAGTGGACGGAAGCCAATCCCATTCCAGGCACATCCCATTGTCCGGGCGCAAGCAGCCACTGCCCTGGCTGTAAGTTATGATGCTGCCGAAATTGGTGGTCCTACCTCGTACAGTTGACAGACAGACACACAGACCAAGTCTCGCAAATATAGAGTAGATATAATAATATATAAAGGAGCAGAGGGTGACCCACTAGAAGCTGGAGTCAGGCACCCAGTGGGCTGGGAGGGCGGCAGGGTGGGGCAGGCTCTGGGGCTGCTCCAGCTCCCATTGCCAGGGTGAGTTGGGGGGTGGGGTGACCCCCTCCAGCCACCCGACTTCTGGTAATCCTCCAGCTTGCATCCCATGGGACGGGGGCAGAGCAGGGGAGGGAAGGAACACAGCCGGAGTGGGGCTTGGGGGAAGAGGGGCGGGTGGAGCAGAGGTGGGGTGGGGCGTGTCCTGTAGTGGGGCACAGGATGGGACTTTATAGGGATGAGGGAAAAAATGTACTTGATGGAATTCCCATTTTAAAAATCAATAAATTAAATGGGCACCTTTTCACAATCCCCTTCTAAAGACGTCTGAAATAATAATTAACTTCATCAGAATAATACTGTAGTTAGGAAAAACACAATCATTCCAACAAAGCATTCACATTAAACAAACCAACCAACGAACCTTCATTAAGGCCCCGAGCAATACTGGGTAGGTCTGCTCGTCTCTGTATGAACACGCCTCGAGATGGTCACCAATGGCAGGTCTAGGACCATAGTTGCTCCTTCTTCTCCAACGTCTTTCTGGTTCGACGGAAGCAGCTTCAAAGGACGAGTGTAGCCCACACATCTCAGTCCCCACCCAGAGGCCCTGCCCTATTGCAACCAGGGCCCTGAGCTTCTAGGGGGTTAGGGTATGTCTACACTTGCAGCCTAATTCGAACTAGGGCTGCAAAAGTAGGCATTCAGAATTGCAAATCAAGTCCGGGATTTAAATATCCCACGACGGATTTGCATCTTCCCATCTGGGCGCCGTTTTTTGAAATTTACAAGCCCAAAGTAACTGCTTCCTGCAATGAGGTTCCTCCTGCAATGAGGTTTAACTGGCAGTTCGAATTAGGGCTTTATTTCGAACGCCCGTTTCACTGCCGCATGTAGACGCGGGCAGTTACTTCGGGCTTGTACATTTCAAAAATGGCACCCGGCCGGGAAGATGCAAAGCAAGGGCGGGATATTTAAATCCCGGACTTGATTTGCAATTCCGCATGCCTACATTTGCAGCCCTAGTTCGAGTTAGGCTGCAAGTGTGGACATGCCCTTATTGTTTGCCTCAGAGGCTCGCGGTCACCTCCACCAGCCTGCCTCTTATGGCTTCTAGAGGCCAGGGTTATAACTTACTGAGCCAAGCTCATCACTGGCAAAGTCAAAGGATTGGGGGAACTCTTCCCCCCTCCCGTAACCCT